TCTCTAGCGATACTCAAAAAAAAATAGAAAGACTGTTATTTAAGACGTCATTAATGTTTATTTTACATAGTTGTCTGAGATATATTCGAATCGCTTTGAAAGAATTACATTGCTAATTCCATTCAAGCATTTCTCATGATGAACATTCCACAGCAAATGCAGATACTTTTTTGTGTTTGGCAACATTTCCATGGCAATTTATCATATTTGTTGTACTTTGCTTTGTTTTGAAATGTAGTCCCTCACCTCCATGGCTGTTATCACCGATTTTTATCACATGAGTGACTTGCATTCCAAATTTTAGTTCCCCAGGTGTATCAAATAAATAACCGCTAGATTGAATTAATGATATTATTAACAAATCATAGAAGATTGGGCGAAAATCTGTCGCAAGGGCGATAAATTTAAATTTTTAAGATGCACGTCATTTGGATCGAGCAGTTTTTTTGTTTATTTGAAAAATTGTGTAATGACATTTGAATCCCATTTAATTTATTAAATTTGCAAACACTAATTTGCCAGTAGATAATAGCTGAATCCATTGGTATAAGTTGTCACATTATCATTCAATTTCTTACCTTGCGTATTTTTCTGTACCTTTCCTGTGGAGTATCGAACCCATGAAAGTTAGTTGCAACATTCAATCCGGTAAACTCACCGTCCACAGATAAAAAAGAAGCATCTGGAATCAACTTTCTCAGCAGTTCCAAACTTTCTTTGAAGTCTGGAAAAAAAAGTCATTATGACATTCAGGTAAATATATTTGTGAGGAACTTTATTAATATTTCCTGTGAGTAATAAACCAGGCATTTTGTACATTGATTTACTGGTAATACTTAAGCAGCCCTATACCATGTGATAAAGTTTGTTTATACTAGATAGATGATAATAATGTGAATTCCATGTGATGAAGTGAATGAACATTTATTTAATACATAAGCACACTCCTAAACAGTGTAACAAGATCACCTTTACACATGCAACATATATAAATTTGGTTGTGCAGGATTGTCTAAGTTGAGTTTGTTTTCTCGACGTAATTAAGTTTTCATCGATTCTTTGACTGGCATTACACAACGGCTTGCACACAGGCAATAGAAATACTGTAACTTAGGATTAATTATTCACTGGGTTTTAATTTTGCTTATTTCGCTGACTGGAAAATGCGCTTAATTAAAACCCAGTGAATATGTCAAATTTAGCATAGAACACATTATCTAAATGATAAAACCGTGAATTTAAAACCCACTGAATATGCCTGAAATGGTAAATCAGCGAAATTTAAACCCAGTGAAAATTAGTCATTTTACAGTACGTGGTACTGTGGAGAACATCTTAGCAGCATAGAATGTTCTGTGATGTAGATTAAATTACTTCCAGTTAAAACAGGTTGTCTATATGGACTGAATTTAACCTTTTCCATGCCATTCACAATACAAAACCTACATAATTTTTTCATATTTTTACCAAAACTTTGATCAAAATCTGTAGTGATGGTGGTATGCATGAACAATACATCTTCATTGAAATTATAAATCCTGATTTTCCTATAGCAAAATACCTAAAGCATACTCAACTATTTGTTTCACTGTTTGTTCTTGTGTTATGTTTTTTTTTTATAATTCAACGTACCATGTAATAATGTTATCATTAAGTTTTCAATATTAACACAGTAGTTTTACTTTTTTTTGTTTGTTTGTCACACTTTTTGTTTTGTTTTTAGCTTCATTCCCTTCTACATGTGTAGAAACCAAAACAGAATTGTCAAATTTTCTTCAACATTGTAATAAAGCAATATTCTATTCTATTCTATTTTATTATAAAAAATTGTAATAATATTTATGTGTACAAACATGGGATTGTTGACTCCATAGTACACCAAAAAATGCGGGGAAAAAAAAAGAAATTTAAAAATATTTATAAGGAAATTTAGAAAAATCAAAGAGAAGGTAATGCAATATGACGTTGTTTTGACCATAGTTTATGTAATAATAATAATCTTTATTGCATAAACGTATCCTTATTTACATATTGACTCAGAAAAAAGAAAGTCAAAATAAAGATGAAGGAATGAGAAAAATGAGTTTCTTTGGCACTGAAACACAGTTAAAGTTGCAGCTTGCTTTTATACATACATAATTTAGTGTCGAATGAAATATCTTTCTCTATTGTATCTATCCATCTATTATAAGGAATGATTGAAAGTACCTCAGTATCTAGTCACTATAATTATTAGGATTGTTATCCGTCAAGTGCTTCACAACAATAACTATGTACCATCACGATTCATCTGCACCATTTCCACACTATCATTTCGACAAACTACAGAAGTGAAAGCGAAACATGTTTAGCTTACTTGCTTTAGTGACCTCCATTCTCTAATCTTCTTGGATTTCTAGAGACCTATATGCAACTTCACAGAAAGTATGGATTGCTTCTGCAGACACCCACAACACACAACCGTTTCAAAACCACATCGAGTGTAGTGAACGCCAAGTCCCAAGTCACTTGAAACTTCACCTTTGACATCTGATCCCTTTGGTCGTCGTTTTTATTGGGTTGGCTAGGTGGTCACCACCGACATATTTACCTCACTTAGGGGATAAATATGGCTGTCGCGCAACCTTGGTCAGGAAAGAACAACAACGCTTCAAAAATGATTTTTAGTCCAGCGAATCAAAGTGAGTCCATTAGCAAGTTTACCATTTCACTGATTAATCTGAATGTTTGTGACTGTGTGACATTTTTCTTTTAATGACGTCACTATAGTCTCCTAAAACGAGTATGCATGTATTTCATTGCGCATCAAACAATTTCCCTAACAGTAACACAGTTAATTATGAGTTTAATTAGTTATTACTGAAACTATGCGTGGTACCATGCGTCATATTATTTGGTCAATGCTAACCATTTGCACCTAGTTACGGTTACACCTACATTTGTGATTGTTTGAAGAAATATTGGTTAGTCAGTCCTACTGGTATCCTTACATTTCATAATTTTCGTATCATACAAGCGTAACGCACTTGTATGCCGAACGTTTTGCTGGTACGTGTCCCGTAAACCCGTCTATACTTATTTACATATATCCTGCATTGAAATGAGGCAGTGACATCGTTGTGACCACCATCGCGGGTAGTCCAATTTCAGACAATTATTTCATTTAACTTTACTCGAATTACAAGTTAAGATACAATAACAACTAGGATTTAAATTCAATACACTGGCTGAGACCCACCAAGCTAGGTAGACACATGTATATATGTACCCTGGAGTATAAAATACACTATCTGCCATGCTAAGCAACTTGTTAATTTGTTCTGCAAATTAAAATAGAATAGAATAGTGCTTTATTGACACCGTAAAGAAAATATTACATTTTTTTTTGGTTATGTACATCAATGAAGTTGATTTCAGGTGCTCTTGCCACAAGTTTTGCCAGCGCCCTCATCTACACGCTTTGAATTGATGAAATATCCAAAGCAGTCAATCTCTCCTAGCTTATTTAGTCTGTGTACTTATAAGTATGACTTCAAGTTGTGAACAGAATCAAGGATTTTCACAGGGTTTTTCATGAGGTTTTTATCTTTGGATTTGAAGCATTCCTTGTCATACATGTAGACAATGAACACAATTTTCTCTTGAAACATACATGTACAAGGGTTGACCATTTAATATAAGGGAGAATAAATATATATACATGTACATGTGAAACTCAAAACTTGTTTAAATAAAGCAATGGATATGAAATACTTGAAAATCAGAAGTGTACAATATATTTCTGAAAGTACTGTCTACGTAAATATTGAAATAGTGATGTAGATGCTGCAGTTACGGTTCTTGTGAATTTATCTTGATAGTCGTGGTTGTACGATTAAGATCTGTTCGTATTCAAATGAAATTATTAGCAGTAATGAAATACACAGGCTCAGACATTACTGACATCACCATGTTGTACCAACATTGTATTGAGAGTGTGCTTACACGGACGGGCTGAACAAGAGCAGAGATCTGCTCGATTTCAATCGAGTTCGTTCAGAGCCGAACATAACACCATCCTCAATTACTTATAAAAACAACGTAGCTGAAAATGATTTTGGTGTCATGCTTGTGTTGTTGTTTTTCTACATGACTGAGAGGAAAAAGAAACAGTCATGAGACTGGTGTTATGATTTTGGCATCTTGAATAAACAGAATACACAGCAGCTAAAATACACTAAATTTGTTGCAGCTATTCACATAAGTTATTGTCATGCAAATTTATCCTCTTTTAATTATTCAACTGTTGTGATATGTGTAACATTTGTCAATCTAAACCTAGTAGGGACATGGCACTGTCTTTAAAAAGTTTCTTCAAGTTCCATTGGATCTGCTCTGTCGTCCTTTCAAGTTTTTGTCGCATAATTCGTATGCTATTTTTCTGTGTTTCGTTGAGCTATCAATCTATCGCAATCTAATAGTTGCTCTTTCAAATTTCGCCAAAGCTTTACCTACATTTTACCGATATCTGCAGAATAAATCAAGAAAACTACACAAATTGACTCCATTTATGAATAATTAACGGTTGGCCCGAACGCACGGCACAGTTGGAGGCGTGACCTGTTCAGAATTTGTCAAGAACCAATCACAAGACTGGTTACAAACCAGTTGAGCGAGGCTAACCGAATCGTAACCTCGGTGTGGTTCGTTCCAGAACTTTGCAACTTATGGCAATTTTTCTACCCTCAAATATATTTTTTTCGTTAAGCCGCTTTTCTTTTCTTGAGTTACACTCCCTAGTAAATTGCGGAATGACAAGTTTTGCATTTAGTTCTAAAGGCAGTCTCTTAATATTAAAACCACAATAGCCATGATTATATTGCCTGACTCAACTAGTTAAAAAACACTTCTCTTTGTAATAAATCGGATAAATCAGGCATTTATATGGGCTGTCAGAGTAGACAGTTTCCGAATAAAAAATCAATACAATCAATACACTTGGTCTTGAATACTTGAATTACCTCGCGGAATCAATGCAATCCTCATCTGAGAAAGCAAAAGAGCAATTTATGCTGGATGGCATGAAAAGTAACACTCGAACGAACGTCAGGAATATTTGGCCAGATTTATTTTCTTGATTGCATTGAAAGAGGGAAGAGCACCACCAACTGGTCAACACCAATTAACCATTTTATATGGCTTTTTGGTCCAAATCTATAAATAATAGGCGTGCCACTTGATGCTAATAGGGTGTTGTATTAATTCAACCCCACGCTTGATGCTGAACACCACTGTCATCCGGCTACTTTAATACACCCTCAAGCTATCGCCGAGGTAAATAGTTCCTCATCCCATTGGTTATTATCATTTATTTTTCATCGCCAGAGTGATTCATGTCCCAAATTTTAGTTCCCTGGGTGCCATCTAAACGTTGGGCTGAATTAATGATTTTACCAAAAAATCATAGAATATTGGGAGAACATCTGTTGTTTTTGGGCCTCACCTTTTTTTTCTCGGACGCAGCTCTTTTCGAGTTTGTTGTATGCCTAGAAACATAGCAACATTGTTTTTGGTGAATATAGAACACGTTTTATTCCAATACAGGATTTTGATATTCCAATCGAACAATTTTAACAATTCTTTACTGTAACGTCTTCTGTAAAAATAGTTCTCTACTCTCCAAAATTTTACAATTACACTAGCCCAAAATGGATTTCCTGTTCAACACGTCTTTGATTGTAGCAATAATATTCACGTTGCTGTACTTAGAGACACACTCTTGAATTCGACAACATTCACTCTCAACCCACTAAGGAAATAAATGGAAATACCAGTTACATCACTCATGATGTTCATTTGCAATTCTCAATAAATATGTGTAAAATCATATAGCATTTTGTACATACCAATCAAATATTGACAAGTAAGTATGTAAATGGTCTGGAACATAGTCAATATGGGATTCTGAATATTACAGGTAGGACCTGAAGATAGCGTCATCATACAGCATTAATGAACAAACTTCACATTACTATCTTATGCCTAATAATTCTTTTGTTTGCCCAGGCTATGTATCAATTCTCTAAATATTTCATGGGTATTTGTGGGAGTGAACCTGTATGTATTAAAATGATAAAAACCTCAAATACAACTATTGTACACATGCAAAGTAAACAAGATTATCGAGAGTGATTTTGGATTTGTTAAAAATTTGCCAAAATGCTGTGATACTATATCTAAGTTGTGGTGGGAATTGCTCAGCCAGTTTATAAAATTGTGATCAATTATTTTCATAAATAACACGGACGAAATATGCCCATCGAGAAGTTTCACTGATTTCTTTCAATTTTAATTTGCTATATTGCAATACATTAGTAATAATTAATATATATACATAGTCAAATGTTTCTTGGTCTAAATAAGAAACTAGGATTTCTCGCCAGATCAATTGCACAAATCATAAAGACAAATTAATAGTTCCTAAAGATGATATTTCCAGAAAACACCATATTCATAACACATAAAAAATTAATTCTCAATTCCGATGAAAGGAACAACAAGAAAGATTTCAAAACTTTACAGCCAGTGACTGTTCTTGGCTCTACACCTCCAGAACATTTTTTATACACTACCATGTTTAAAAATCACTGGCATTTAATTATAATTATTAAATAATAACTGACACTTCTACTTTCCTTATTACCGGTAGTGTCTCGGGAAAATTTTGCTCACCATTTATGACGAGGATTCTTTATCTGATTTTAGTAAACAAAATTCTGATGACTTGCAAAATTTTGTTCAACAAATATTTAAACTGTTGGTCTCTATAGCTGGGAAAAGTTAATGGTTGACTTACATGTAAGTATAGGGTCAGTCTGTACAGGAAATTGCTCGGTATCTTGGTAACAAAAATTAGCACACACTGAGCTATGAAAGAACACTACTGGTACATGGTTGTAAAGTTTTATCTTATCTCATCTTAAAAGTACGAACCGGTGGGTCAGGTGCCATGCTGCCTAGCTTATTAATGCATGTGAGCAGGGCAAGGACAGGTATGTTTGCACTACAAGTCAAATTGAACTCCATTACCGCAATCTCGTAATAACGGGCGGTGATGAACTCTTCAATTCAATTATAATGTTATAAATTTTCAAATTGAGAAAAACAAAGAAGCAAATATTGTAAACATTCACAAGCAAATGAACATAGTGTTGATGTGGTGTGGTACTATTAATTGCCCTCATTTTTCAAACCCATGCAAATTTTTCACATTTTTATGTATTTTTCTATAATTTCTTTTTTAAATTTTTTAACAAAATTTTCAAAAAAATATTTACAATGTAATTTTATTATTTATGGTTACAGAATTTTACTTTGGCATTTAAAAAGTATATGGATAATGAGATGTTTTCAAACAGATAAAACATAGTACATAAATAGCTTTATATGTAGTTTAGTATCAGATAATAGTCAGATCAGTCAATTAACTAATTTGTATTCTTTGTTGTCTAAACCTGCATGATATTGTATTGTTGTACTTTTATAATAGTGTGTAATTTATATCATTGTATAAAATAGAATAGAATAGGATAAAATATTGCTTTTAAATTAATACAAGCATAAAGAATTTGTTTGGTTTGTGATAAAATAAGTAAAAATAAAAAAAAAAACATATTAATGAGCTATTTTATACTGGTACTGGTATTGAATACTAGTACTGCACATAGGGATTGTTTTAAATTTAGATAATAAATATGTACATATACTGGATACAGCAATGACAATTTTTAATGTTATAAAAATTGATAATAAATATGTACAGACACTGGATACAGCAATGACAATTGTTAATGTTATAAAAATTGATAATAAATATGTACAGACACTGGATACAGCAATGACAATTGTTAATGTTATAAAAATTGATAATAAATATGTACAGACACTGGATACAGCAATGACAATTTTTCATGTTCTAAAAATTGATAATACTGGTAAATATGTACAGACACTGAATAAAGCTATGACAACTTTTTATGTTCAATACTAACATTGAATTTTTTGACAATTTCTAGTATTTTGTTTGGTTGATATGTATATTGTACAAATGAGTCAATTGCTTGTAACCTTATATACAATGTTTTCCTAGCCTAAGTTAACATTTAGCTATAGATTTGAAGTAGCTAAAAGCTAGCTTAGCTTGTTTTTAAAACTTTCTTGCTTTATAACATAAGTAAATACTACAAAGAATAAGTTGAAATACATGTAATTGATAAATGATAATTGCTTTAAAAGTTTTATGAGAAGACAAGGCGAGCTGATATTCATTTTGGAAGTTACATCCAGACTGTATTGTATTGTGTTTGATGCTTTGTAAAATGTTATTAATATAGATTATCTGTGGATCCCATCCTAATGGTTTCTAAATATAAATATAGACATGAATTTTGAAGGCGAGGGTATGAAAGTGGTATGATACGTGCTGATCTGTTTATTTTCTACCACTTTCGTAAAAACTGGAATAATTTGTGGAATCTATTAATTCACACACACAGTTAATTAAAAAAAATAATTAATACCGAATTCTGTCGTAAATTAGCCTTTGGCCGTTGAACGGATATTTTCAACTAGTTTGGGTTTTTAAAAAAATAAAATAGGACCAAGAAATTTTTTATGTTCCAATCACCTCACCGTGCCAGAGATCGTTTTGTAAAAAATACCGTAATTTCAACCAGACAGGAAGTATAGAGTTTTTTTTTCCAATTTTTTTTTCAGTGGAATATGTCTGATAATCCAGTCAAACTATTACTGTGCTGTGGGAAATCCTCACATTTCATAAATGATCAGTCATTGTCAATTGCTTTCATACCCCCCCCCCCCTGTTTTTAGCTCTGCTGTCATTAAAAATGACAGAGCAGAGTTCATGGGTTGACCAACCCTATCGTCGTCCGTACGTCATATGTCATATATCATCCGCCAACTTCTCTTCTGTCAGCTGGATTGCCTTGCTAATCATACCACACCTACCTTGGATCATGCAAAAATATATTGTGGTAATAGTGACAACAACGTCATGTTTCAGCTTCAATTTACTGTACACCCACATTATCAATTATACATATCCATGAATTACATACAGAAATACGTTTGCTCTTATGGAATATGCCCTTCCTGTGACCATTGCCACAATTACAATAGATTCCACTTCTCCTATCCACCTAGTAAATTAACTGCCACTGCCCTCTGCGCTTGTCAATAACAGCAGTGCTCCATCAATCGCAAGGTCGCTTGAGAGTAACTTGTTTTTTTACCCACTGTAACAGAAAATCATCCCAACCTTTCTGGCGGTAGGGTGAGTCTGACCTCATTGAACCACATTGGCAGGTTGTAGAAAATTTCTTTATACAAGTACATGTCTGCCACTTAATAACACGATAACGAAAACAGGGATTTATTGATTGACCTCTGTGCATGTGCATGTCTAGACATGTAGATTCAAATTTCACACATACATGTACATCATACATAATATTATACATATGCACATAATTTGTTTCACAATCTGATTCAAGATGGCTGAATGGTGGCCATTTTTGTGCTGAAAAATCATCAAAATCAAGCATTTCTGGCATTCCAGAACCGGATCTCAGTCTGTTGTGGAGTGATTTCATCAAACTTGGTAGATAATGTATATTACACATTATGCACCTCACTTTGTTTTTCAGGTCAGATTCAAAATGGCTGACTGGTGACCGTTTTGTTTTAATGAATGCGGTTCTGACATACTTTGACTGATTATGTTCAAATTTTATATATTCATTATACATCATGTCATAAATATACAGATGTATTGGTTTGACGATCTGATTCAAAATGGCCAGTTTGTTTTAATTAATTAATGCTGTTTCAAGGCAATATCTCTCAATATGGGAAAAGTACTAGTTTGACGATCAGATACAAGATGACTGAATGTCATTTTAATATTAAAAAATCATAATCAAGCATCAATCAGCTTCAGGATTCATATCTCTGACATGTTTATGTTCCAGCTATATTACGATAAACAAAACTATATATCTTAAATTTGACAACTAATGGGGACTGTGCCATGCATGGCTTGTTCTATTTATCTTGCATATTATCAAGACAATGTTATTGAATCATCACATACTAGTAAATTATTTGTACATATTCAGTTGGCATGCTTTATAACCGTGTAAATATTCCAAATAAATCTGATTTATCCTTACCATGCTGTGGTATATTATTTTATTTACAGTTCATAGTTGAAGAAATAAATATGGAGTCTAGATCAGTACGCTTTGGTCAGGACAGTGTCAGTGGGGATGAAGATGAGCAAACATTTCTTGAGCAGAATGGAGTTGATGATGATCCCCTCCAGTATGACACGGTCACTACAACAAACAACAGAGAAAGCACCTTGAGAAGGACAATGTCAGAAACTATATTCAATTGTGGGTGTTGCTATGAACTCATGGTTCAGCCAACTACGCTGAACTGTGGGCACAGTTTTTGTCGTCTTTGTCTAGCTCGCTGGTGGAAAATATCCAATAACACCACCTGTCCTGGCTGTCGCCAACAATGGAATGGATTCCCACACATTAATATAATTCTCAGGTAATTACATGTATGTGTTTTTAAAATTCATCTAATACCAAAAAAAATGTACATACATGGCGGAACCATTTGTTTGTGATCTACTCACCCTGATCATGTGGATCTTGAAAACTGCCATGCCTTTTCCTCTTAGATTTATATTGCTTATTGTTCATATATAAAAAAAATATAATTATTTTCCTAGAACCACCCTTGAAAAGATGTTTCCTCAGAACATTACATCAAGACGTGAACAGTTAAATAATGCAGATAATAAGAGTCTCCTTGACGAGTTTGAGAAGTTTGGTAAAGATGTGACAAAAAAGCAGAAAAAGCAGTCAAATAGTGGATTCTGTTCTGGAGTCTTCTTTTCTTTAGCTATTGTCTTGGTAAGTGTAAAGATATATTATAACCAGTATTTTATAGGTCTCCTTTCTTTTCTTATCCATTACATACATTTCACAAAACACATGTCGTGAACAAAAGATTACATGGACATTTGGAGCACGTGGTTATAAAAACAGCAAAAATGTAAATACCCGTCAGTTAGTCAAATCTAGCAAAATACAACACAGTCTGGCTTGTAGAAGTCACAAACTGTACTAGTGTTAAACACAGTACC